CTACGAGCTTCCCTCTCTTGACTTCAGCACAGCTTTCTTAGGGAGCAGCCTGCACGAGGAGATCTGGTTGCGCCGCCCACCTGGCTTCACTGGGTCGTTCCCTGCATGTACCTAGTGGAGCCTCAGGAGGCCAGTCTATGGTCTCCACCAGGCGCCCCGCGAGTGGCACGACACACTGAGGACGACACTTGCAGCTCTTGGATTTGCTCCTTCGACTGCTGACCCGTCACTGTTTCTGCGTACCGACAGTTCGCTGCCGCCGTTCTACATCCTCGTGTGCGTCGACAACTTGGTTTTTGCCACTGCTGACACTGAGGCACTGGCCCTAGTGAAGTTGGAGTTGTAGAAGAGACACACGTGCACAGACCTGGGTGAGTTGCGCAGCTATCTTGGCTTGCAGATCATCTGGGACAGAGCACGGTGCATCATCACCTTGACTCAGTCACACATGGCGCACCAGGTCCTTCAGCGCTTCCGCTTCCAGTACTCCTCGCCACAGTCCACTCCTCTGCCTACCGGTCTCTCGCTCTTAGCTCCACCTTTGGACGATTCCATAGAGCCGAGTGGCCCGTATCCAGAGCTTGTAGGCTGCCTCATGTACCTGATGACCTGCACTCGACCTGACCTTGCCTACCCTGGCATGCTACGTTGCGCCCGGGAGACACCGACCAGAGCATTGGGAGGCTGCTAAGAGGGTGTTCCGCTACTCGTACAATACGTCGAGCATGGGGCTCGTGCTTGGAGGACGGGGTCGAGTTGTTCTTACTGGCCAAGCAGACGCGTCTTGCGTTGACGACTTGGCTACGCAGCGGTCGTCACAGGGTTACACCTTCAGCCTTGGCTCCGATTCCGTTTCTTCGTGGTCTACCTGCTTGTCTTCTGTTCTCAGTTCCAGTTGTGAGGCTGAGATCTACGCAGGGGCCATGGCTGCACAGGAGTTACGCTGGCTCACCTACCTTCTGGCCGACTTGGGAGAGCGGCCTAGTTCTTGTCCAATTCTGTACGTAGACAACAATGCCGTGATTGCCTTGTGTCCGGAGTACAGACTGGAGCACAGGACGAAGCACATCGCTCAGTTTTACTTCCTTGCTCGAGAGTTGCAGCAGCATGGTCAGCTTCGTCTTGCTTACGTGGCCACTCGGGCCAACACTGCTGATATATTCACCTAGGCACTTCAGCCTTGTGTTCATCAGCGTTTCTGTACTGTTTTAGGCCTTGTGCCTACTTCGCCTCACTTGCTCACTTCGTAACTTTGCTTGTACTGTGATCTATATACTTATACCTGCATGCTTACCCTTGCTAGGTTGTGATTTCCCATTTATATAACTCTGCATGTGAACTGGCCAAGTGGTCATTTGCTTGTGCTCGGAGTGTGTGGTGACTTCGCGATCCACCCTGAGCTTGCTTTGATTTTCTTGACTGGTCTTGTGACCCCTTGTTCTCCCCCACTTTGCCTATGGGGGTGTGTCAAACTATTATGTTGTGTGTGTTGTGTAGGCTGTAGTGGGGTAGCCCATATGGGGTACAAGCCAATTACGGTTAGTAATTGTACCATCTTTCTAATCAATGCATTCATCCTCGCTTAGTATTCTGACAGACTCCCGGGTCAGGAGGAACCTATAAACTACACCAATCTTGCTCCCCAACTCCCCAACTCCCCGACTCGTTCTTCCAGTATGATGGGGTGAGTCGTTCTTCCAGTATGATGGGGTGAGTCGTTCTTCCAGTATGATGGGGTGAGTCGTTCTTCCAGTACGATGGGGTGAGTCGTTCTTCCAGTACGATGGGGTGAGTCGTTCTTCCAGTACGATGGGGTGAGTCGTTCTTCCAGTACGATGGGGTGAGTCGTTCTTCCAGTACGATGGGGTGAGTCGTTCTTCCAGTATGATGGGGTGAATCGCTCTTCCAGTATGATGGGGTGAGTCGTTCTTCCAGTATGATGGGGTGAGTCGTTCTGCCAGTATGATGGGGTGAGTCGTTCTTCCAGTATGATGGGGTGAGTCGTTCTTCCAGTATGATGGGGTGAATCGTTCTTCCAGTATGATGGGGTGAGTCGTTCTTCCAGTACGATGGGGTGAGTCGTTCTTCCAGTACGATGGGGTGAGTCGTTCTTCCAGTACGATGGGGTGAGTCGTTCTTCCAGTATGATGGGGTGAGTCGTTCTTCCAGTATGATGGGGTGAATCGTTCTTCCAGTATGATGGGGTGAGTCGTTCTTCCAGTACGATGGGGTGAGTCGTTCTTCCAGTACGATGGGGTGAGTCGTTCTTCCAGTATGATGGGGTGAGTCGTTCTTCCAGTATGATGGGGTGAATCGTTCTTCCAGTATGATGGGGTGAGTCGTTCTTCCAGTATGATGGGGTGAATCGTTCTTCCAGTATGATGGGGTGAATCGTTCTTCCAGTATGATGGGGTGAGTCGTTCTTCCAGTATGATGGGGTGAATCGTTCTTCCAGTATGATGGGGTGAATCGTTCTTCCAGTATGATGGGGTGAGTCGTTCTTCCAGTATGATGGGGTGAGTCGTTCTTCCAGTATGATGGGGTGAGTCGTTCTTCCAGTATGATGGGGTGAGTCGTTCTTCCAGTATGGGGTGAGTCGTTCTTCCAGTATGATGGGGTGAATCGTTCTTCCAGTATGATGGGGTGAGTCGTTCTTCCAGTATGATGGGGTGAGTCGTTCTTCCAGTATGATGGGGTGAATCGTTCTTCCAGTATGATGGGGTGAGTCGTTCTTCCAGTACGATGGGGTGAGTCGTTCTTCCAGTATGATGGGGTGAGTCGTTCTTCCAGTATGATGGGGTGAGTCGTTCTTCCAGTATGATGGGGTGAGTCGTTCTTCCAGTATGATGGGGTGAGTCGTTCTTCCAGTATGATGGGGTGAGTCGTTCTTCCAGTATGATGGGGTGAATCGTTCTTCCAGTATGATGGGGTGAGTCGTTCTTCCAGTATGATGGGGTGAGTCGTTCTTCCAGTATGATGGGGTGAGTCGTTCTTCCAGTATGATGGGGTGAATCGTTCTTCCAGTATGATGGGGTGAGTCGTTCTTCCAGTATGATGGGGTGAATCGTTCTTCCAGTATGATGGGGTGAGTCGTTCTTCCAGTATGATGGGGTGAGTTGTTCTTCCAGTATGATGGGGTGAGTCGTTCTTCCAGTATGATGGGGTGAATCGTTCTTCCAGTATGATGGGGTGAGTCGTTCTTCCAGTATGATGGGGTGAGTCGTTCTTCCAGTATGATGGGGTGAGTCGTTCTTCCAGTACGATGGGGTGAGTCGTTCTTCCAGTATGATGGGGTGAGTCGTTCTTCCAGTATGATGGGGTGAATCGTTCTTCCAGTATGATGGGGTGAGTCGTTCTTCCAGTATGATGGGGTGAGTCGTTCTTCCAGTATGATGGGGTGAGTCGTTCTTCCAGTATGATGGGGTGAGTCGTTCTTCCAGTATGATGGGGTGAATCGTTCTTCCAGTATGATGGGGTGAGTCGTTCTTCCAGTACGATGGGGTGAGTCGTTCTTCCAGTATGATGGGGTGAGTCGTTCTTCCAGTATGATGGGGTGAGTCGTTCTTCCAGTATGATGGGGTGAGTCGTTCTTCCAGTATGATGGGGTGAATCGTTCTTCCAGTATGATGGGGTGAGTCGTTCTTCCAGTATGATGGGGTGAGTCGTTCTTCCAGTATGATGGGGTGAGTCGTTCTTCCAGTATGATGGGGTGAGTCGTTCTTCCACTATGATGGGGTGAGTTCTACGCTAGCTCCAACGGTTGCTTAAACCTGCCTTGAAGATTGGCCCAATTTTCAAGCAAAAACCAACTCAACATCCACATTGCCCAACTCCTCCCAAACCAGCCACCACCCCCTACCGCTCCTTAAAGCCCGCAGCTCAAGTTCCACAAGATTACTAACGATGACAGGGAGGTTCTTTAGGATGGTTCGGGATGAAAGGTCCACTTTTGTCCATCTCTCGTCAGCTTCACTATTCCCCTTTCCCCTCTAGACGTTCAAGTACCAGGATGCTGCGTGCTACACGGGCAGTCTGAACCATGTGGTGCTCGTTGTTGGCTACTTCATCAATCGCGACGACGGCAGCCAGAACCGCATCCCTCCACCATTTTGGATCATCCGAAACTCGTGGGGAGTGGAGTGGGGCGACAGGGGCCACATGCGCATGGACATACAGGGAGGGGATGGCGTGTGTGGCATCAACGTGCTGCCTGGCATCTACCCCATTGTCAAGAGTAAGGATGCTCAAGGGTGAAGAATGTACAACACTGGCACCCCCCGTCTCCCCCCCCTCCCTCTACCCCCCGTCTCCCGCCCACCCCCACCTGTTTTGTTCAAAGTAGTATACAGTAGCATCTGCGATTCATGACAGGGACTCAGCAGGGCATCTGGCCATTAACTGGTGGCCTGTCCCCACTGTAGTACTGTTGCTGATGTAGTGCCACCAACCACCTCTGGCACAATATCCTGCTAGGCCTAACAGAATGTTTCGTTAAGCCTAACAAAAATATTGCTGAAGTTTTCATAGTGCAACCGATTTTTTTTGTGCAAACATTTTGCTTCACATATTTTCCACCTTGCGAATTCCATCAAATTCCCTAACAGGCATATTGCAAGAACCGAACTTGAAGCAGTTTAGGTCACACCAACCTCAAGATTAAATCAAGCTGGTTCGGTTCAGGTTGATGTGAAATGGACGGTGGCGGATTTGGAATGTTGAAAACACTTCTAGTGGCACAAGTAATTCTGGTACCATGTAACGCGTTGCAGGGTCGTTAAATTGCTGGATCGTTCTACGGCCATCTGATCGTCTGGCTACATGTGTTTACTTTGAAATGCACCCTCTCTTCACCTCGCAGATCCAGACGACCCATGCGGCATCAGCAGTTACAAGGGAGATAAGGATTCGGACGGCATGAGTCCTTGCGGCCGGTTCCCTTGCCAGAAGACTAAGGAAGGCAATACATGCACCTGCATTATTGAAATCGTTCCTCTGGCTAGGCAACCATTTGTTGCGGTTGCAAACGGAATTGGCGCCCAAACATGTGCTTATGGTGAGTTCTGGGGAGCATCCTTCTCCCTGTAATTGTAAAGAGATAAGTATATTGCCCATGAACACCCTCAACGAGAGATCTGAGAGTTGAACATAACGGTTTGGTGAGAACACCCTAGTTTGGTTTGGTGTGGCGGAATGGGCTTGGTAATTAGAGAAAGAGCTGGGGTTGGAACTGAGCTTCAAGTTTCAGCTTTTTACCAAGGCGCGTTGGTTCTCACGTCCAACTGAAATCGGCATCAAATCGGTTCGATTCAACTTGGGTGGGAAAAACTGCCAATAGAACCATCAAACCGGTTAGATGTTGAACCAAGCCGGGTTCTAGTCAAACTAGATGGTCAAAAAACAGCTGCGGTTCAGTTCGATGCATTGGGGTAGGCAATCTATAAGTGCCGGGTTTGTGCCTCAGGGGTGTGGGGGGCCTGGCCTTATGAAGTTCCTGGGGGTGGTCTGGCGCCTGATGAGGCTTGTAGAGGCCATGGGGCAGTGCTGGGTCGAGGGGGGGATGGGGAGGGGATCTTATGCTGGGTTCAGTGACTCAGGGAGAGAGGTAGGTAAGAACCCTGTCCAGGCCCAAGTGTGATGGGGCACGTCTCAGCATGAGAAGCTTCGCAAAGTCGCTTGCATGGTCAATCTTGTTATTCGCTTTTTATTCTCGGGCTGCCCCAAAAAATAGCCCTCCTAACCTGGAAACTAATTCATAGCTGTAAGATACGCCTACCTGGAAGCCGTTTTTAGTCCATCTCTGGTCGTCCGCAGTGCGGACTGGGCAAAGAAAACTTGACACAGAAAACTTGACGAGGGAAACTCGACTTGACAGTCACATGTCAGTGGAAATACACTCGTCTAAGCGAGTCATGTAAGACTCGAATCGCCATTTGCCCGTGCGGACTCCGCATGCCTTGGGCAAGTCCGCGCCCTCGATGACTGCGTGCGCACCAACCGCCATCGCTGGTATCCGTCCAAAGTCGGTGTTAGGGCATCCAGTGGCACTGAGTGATATCGCGATAGGGAGAGCTCAGCAGAGTGTCTCCCCCCTGCGTTGCAGTGTGCTGCTGCAAGTGAGCCTGTGGGACTATCGGGCCATGATCCGCTCTCTCTGGCCGTGGTTGGGGTTGCCATGAAATCCTCAGGAAGGTGCGGGGCTTTGTTACAGGAGTAGGATCCTCCAGCACAATCTGACCGCCTCATGGGTGAAGGGTGCGTGGTCAGCTTTTGCCACACAGAGAATGTGCCCGGACTGCATCGCCATTTGATTTCCACCTCCGAGTGGCATTGAGAGCTGAAACGGCACAGCCTGCCCCCAGACATATGCAGGCAGGGGATTGCGCGGATGGTGGTGTGGGTGGAGCGGACGGTCACCGAGTGGGCCTGCTGTAGTTTTGCCTCTCCGTCCTTCCACCAGGACGCTCAGTGCCCCGCGAGGCAGTGCAGCTTCAACCGCTGCGAGTCGTCAGGGTAGAGTTGGGGAAGCTTTGGCGTCAGCCTCAAAGAGCAGGATCAGATGTGCTACAGCTGGGTGGGGCGAGCATGTAAGGAATTGAAGGAGGTACCAGACGAGATTTCTGCCGAGCTTGAACGTAATAAGAATAAGAGGCATAGGAGAACCTATACACATGTAAGAGACCTAGGAGCTTGGTTTCTCTCTCTTCTCCTCACTTTTCTCATCCCATGCTGAGGTAATGTGGCATGGCATGAGAACCTTTGCTCTACACATGTCCTATCACTCATGCGTTCCTTGTACCCATATCCTGCATTTCTCATGCTGCTTTCCTCCAATCTGTGCATTATCCATCACCCCACTACCATTTGTGGCAGTGGACGTGTGTGGGTCGTACTTCAAGAACCCCTGCTACGTGGGCACATGCATCAACGATCTCAAGGGCTCCTACTCCTGCATCTGCCCTCCCAACTACATTGAGAGAGTCACATTTTATGGCCTCCCCACCTGTGATCCAGGTGATGACTCAGTGGGCCAAGTTTTTTCTCAAATGACTTCATGTTGTCCTATTTCGGGTCTCTTGCATAGTACAATGAAACATGCCATTTCTTCCTAACATTACTCCTCTGTCTTTCCTTGATGCCCTCTTCTTGCTCTACTCGCTATGTACACAGCAAATAATACAGCCACCAGCATGACAGTTACTGGAGACAACTGGCATTGTTCAAATGTTTCTGCACTTGTTGGGATCCCACTGGGAAAGGTCATCTCTACCAATACTGTAAGCAGTGGGTTGAGGAGTGTGGAAAGTACGTTGGCCCCACGCATGTATTTGCACGTTCTGACATTTTTGCATCATTCTTTTTGGTCGGCGTTTGCGATCAACGCACTCATATTTTTTAACAATGCAGGGGATAGATTGCAGCCAGCCATTGCCCAGGGGCAGTGTCCTTCAGCTGGACGGTGCTCCTGACATACCTTGCACTGCCTTCTTCTACGCCCTCAAGGTGAGATGAGGCGGTCCCTTCTTTCACCACACCGTAAACCAGCTGTGTAGATCCCATTGTAGCTATATTCAAGTGCTCTCAACACGTGCATTCTATCTTGCTGTGTCCAACTTCCCAGAGTGACACGTGTACATCCATCAGCTCGCAACTCACCTTGGGTGATGAAGATCTTGTCCAGCTCAACCCTGGCCTCAACTGTTCGCCCAATGGCCTCAAGGCAGGCCATTCAGTGTGCATCGAGCGCAACTCTTCCTTCGCCTACTCTGCCCCTGAGTGTCGAAGATACGGCACGTTGACACCACAAGACACGTGTGAGGTGCTGCTTCAAAGGTCCATCAACGAGCCGGGTGCAACTGTCACTGGAAGTGACTGGGTTGAGCTGTACCGCAACAATCCCGGCCTCACTTGCTCCAGCGCCTTCCCTAGCAACATCAAAGTGCAGGTGAGGGTAGGCGGTGCAAGTAAAACGGGATACGGAAGGGATAGAGTAGGGGTGAGAGGGGGGAGGTCCAGGCGGATAGCCGGGTGAAGAAGTAATCAGGGGGTGGGCAGAGAGCAAGAAAATGGGGGTTTTAAATTGCTGAACAAAGGTAAATGTCTGTGGAAGATCTTTCACTGGGTCGGAGTCGTGGGAACTGTTAACACCAATTGGCACTCAGGGTATTACTCAGGATATTATTTTTTCCTTCTCGCGTTTGTCTCTATTACGGTATGTAGTTCTTGTCAGAATCACTTGTCAACTGTGGCATTCATATGTCTGTTATGGCAGGTTTGTCTGAGGGCAGACTATTGGTCATTCACAGCAAGCGTTGTTTGCAAGAAAGGCACATCGAAGAAAGTGGAGCCCAAGGATTCGTGCTCAACTGTTTTTGTTACAGGTAAATTCATAAGTAGTGCCCAATTCGTAGAGTATAATAACAAAGCTTGCTCTGGTATGGTAGGTACCCGGTCGATATGTGTGCCCAAATAATATAGCTAAATATATGAAAATGATATCGTACTTTTTATGGACAGATCTGTGAAATTATAAACATATGGTCTTGTTATTTATCTTGGCTACAGTGAGGTGCCGTTTAGAGGGTACAACCCATTTAGGGTTTCCTACTTGTATCCCACTTCACCCATTCCACTGGCCTATCTCTTACATGGTTTCATCAGTTAGTTCCTAGGTTGTCTCTGTCCTAGACTGTCCTAGCTCCTAGTGCCTCCGGTGGTCAACTTGCCTCGTTCTCTCCGTCTCCGCCTGCCAGCCAGTAGCGCCAGCCCTTGCCACCAGCCAGCCAGCAGCTAGACCAGCGCGAGCTAGCAAGCACAGCGTGCTAGAAAGCACGCCGCCCAGCTGCACGCGCCGTCCAGCCGCGAGCGCCAGCAGCAGGCAGTGCCCCCCGCCCGTAGGCAGCGAACGCGCCCCGCACGTAGGCACCGCGCACACATCCAACAGAAGCGGCGCACTCAGGCCAGCAATGCGCGCACCCCAGTCCACCAGAGCGTGCTCCCCAACCAGCCAGAGCGCGCGCCCCAGCCAACAGCAGCGTGCGTCGCTTGCCAGCAGCACGAGCCTCGCCGACAGTCCCCACAACCCATCACCAGTTGCACACCACACCAATCCGTCCTCCCGAGCCGTTCTCACTGCCAGTGGCTCTTCTAGTGGCGGCTGGCATCCGCAGTTCTCGTTCCTAGCTTCCTCTTCCTGGCGCAGATTTGCGTTTTGAGCGACGTTTCTGACGTGCGGTTCTTAGCCAGCCACACCTCATTGGTCGGGCTAGCTTCCAGACTGACGTTCCTCCCTCCAGCACTTCCTAGCTCTGGCCGTGTCTAGCTCCAGCCACTCCGAGCTTCAGCCATTTCCAGCTCCAGCCGTTCCTCCCTCCAGCTTTCGTAGCCCTGGCCGTGTCTAAATCCATCCACTCCTAGCTCCAGGCCACCTAGCTCTAGCCGTTCCTCGCTCCGGCCGTGTCTAGCTCCAACCACTCTTAGCTCCAGCCACTCCCAGCTCTAGCCGCCCCTAGCTCCAGCCGTTCCTAGCTCCAGCCGCTCCTAGCTCTAGCCGTTCCTAGCTCCAGCTGCTTCTCGCACCACCTTTTCCTAGCTCTGGCCGTGTCTAGCTTCAGCCACTCCTCGCTCCAGCCGCTCCAGCCATTCCTAGCTGCAGCCGTTTCTAGCTCCAGCAGCTCCTAGCCTGGTTTTCCTTGACGGTCGTTGCTAGCCGTTCCTAGTCTCAGCTCCCTTTCACCATGTCATCCACTGGTACTCTGCAGCAGAAGGGGCAGCTGCAGCAGTCCAAGCAGTAGGGACCTTATCAGCAGTGACGCCGTCAGCGGCAGTGGGATCCTGGTGCTCCGAGGAGCATTGGCCCTAGTAGCGGCCCAGACTGTTGGGCGACTAGTCTCAGTGGCCGCGACGTCGGGCCCTGCTGGTACCGGACTCTGACTGGCCCCGCTGCTGGCACTACCTGTAGGCGTCCTGACCACTCCATGTTGCACTGCTTCAGTCACCTCAACAACCTCTACTGTGAGCGTTTCGGGCCTACTTTCGGCTCCCCCATCCAGACCTACTCTGCTTCACAGTGGTTACCGTGTGTTTCATCTGTCCATATATTCTATTCATTCTATCATGTATCCTGTTGACTCTAGTTCGGTCGGATCTGTTCGCTTGCGTGTACCTAGCTTAGGATCTTTGCCTGTTTCTAGTTTAGGTGCCTATGTAGTTCCTAGCCCGTGTGTGACTATTGTTGACGCACCTCTTTCCTTCACGCTTTAATTTGCCGCGTCCTAGATATTCCTACGTGGACAAGCTCTCCTCCCGCGCCATTACCTGCGTCTTCCTTGGCTTTCCCCCTAACGCCCATGGCTGGCAGTTTTACCACCCCACCTCGCGCCGTGTCCTGCCCTCTCAGGACGTCGCGTTTGACGAGCCGGTTCCGTTTTACCGTCTCTTCCCCTACCGCACTGCCCCTCTCCCCCCCCCCTCGCCGCTCTTCCTTGCACCAGGTCCTCCTCCAGTAGACCCCCTCCTCCCTCAGGGTCCTGCTCCCTCAGGTGTGTCTCAGGTAGACCCACTCCCCTTGGCTGAGCCTGTCTAGGTAACTGTCGACTCTAGTGCTGCTGGGGGGGGTGCTGCTAGGGGTGCTGCGTCTGGGGGTGCTGAGCCTGAGCATGCGGAGCCTGGGGGTGCTGAGCCTGCGGTTGGTGAGTCTGAGGGTGCGGAGCCTGGGGGTGTTGAGCCTGAGCGTGCGGAGCCTGGGGGTGCTAAGCTTGCGAGTGCTGAGCCTGAGCGTGCAGAGCCTGGGGGTTCTGAGTCTGGGGGTGTTGAGCCGAGAGGTACTGTGTCTATTGGAGGTCCAATGGGTGCCTCGTCATGGCGGGAGCCTCTCTCTCCACTGCAGCTGCGCGAGTGGTTTGCTCGGCGCACCAGCCTTCGGAGTGGCGCTGCTGGAGCTGGGGGGCCTACCGCTAGAGACACTGCCGCTGGAGGCACTGGAGCTGGAGGCGCTGGAGCTGCTGGTCCTGGAGGTGCTGGAGGTCCTGCTGGAGCTGGAGGTACCGGAGGTGCTGGAGGTGCTGGTCCTGGAGGTGCTCGTGCTGGAGGTACTGGAGCTGTCGGAGCTAGTGGTGCTGCTGGTGCTGGATGTGCTGGCGGTCCTACTGGAGCTGGAGGTACCGGAGGTGCTGGAGCTGCTGCGCCTGGAGGTGCTCGTGCTAGAGGTACTGGAGCTACCGGAGCTGGTGGTGCTGTTGGTGCTGGAGGTGCTGGCGGTCCTGCTGGAGCTGGAGGTATCGGTAGTGCTGCTGCTGCTGCTGGAGGTGCTGGAGGTGCTGGCGCTGGGGGTGCTGGAGCTGTCGGTACTGGTGCTGGAGGCACTGTGCGACCGCGACCGTACTTCGTTCCACTGCTTCGCCAGGTTCTTGGTCTCCCTTGTTCTACTGACCTTACTCCACCTCTACTGTGTCCACCGCCTGACCAGTCGCAGCCACAGTTACAACCAGCCTCCCCACTACCTGCTCCTTCTCCTTACACTGAGCAGACAGACTCTCTTACAGACCGTCGTGAGCCTGCGTATCGCCCTGACTCGCTTGTTCGCGCTGGTCGCACTGGTCGTCGTGTTCCGCGTCCGCGTCCTCCTCCTGTCCCCGGCACTCACCTTATGACACTTCGCCCTTCCTCTGTTCCACTGCGAGTTCCCCTGCCGTCTCCTCCTGCTTCCTCTCTCACTGACGGTTTGGACCCTAAGTCTGACTTAGTTCGTGCTGGCAGACCTACTGTCACACGTTTTCTAGCCATTGTTGTCACTGACCCTTCGCTTGAGTCCCTGCTGCGTCTGCTCTAGTTGCTGAGCTTGTTGACTTTGCTGCTGCCTGTCGTCTTGACTACGCCGCTAGTCTTGTTGCTGAGTCTGGGTCTGACTGTCCTCCGTCCGTCGGGGATAAGTGTGCTCTTGGCACGGACGTCCTTGAGGACAGACAGGAGGACTTTGAGTGTCTTGCAGCTGCTGTACCTCATCTCGTGTCCATGCTGATCGCACCTGAGGGAGACTCGGATGCTCCAGACGTCCCGACCCCGCGCTCTTAAGCAGAGGCGTTTACGCGTTCCTACTCCTCTCAGTGGCAGACAGCCATGGATGCAGAGATGGCATCCTGGAAGTCCACAGGCACGTACGTCGACGGAGTTCCCCTCCTGGGGCGAACATAGTCGATGGCATGAGGATTTTCAGTGTGAAGCGACCGCTGGGTTCTCCGTCTGCCTTCAAGGTTCGTTACATTGCACGAGGCTTTAATCAGCGACTGGGAGTTGACTTCTTCCAGACCTTCTCCCCTACCCCGAAAATGACCACTCTTTGGGTGCTGCTGCACGTCGCCGCTCAGCGTGACTACGAGCTTCCCTCTCTTGACTTCAGCACAGCTTTCTTAGGGAGCAGCCTGCACGAGGAGATCTGGTTGCGCCGCCCACCTGGCTTCACTGGGTCGTTCCCTGCATGTACCTAGTGGAGCCTCAGGAGGCCAGTCTATGGTCTCCACCAGGCGCCCCGCGAGTGGCACGACACACTGAGGACGACACTTGCAGCTCTTGGATTTGCTCCTTCGACTGCTGACCCGTCACTGTTTCTGCGTACCGACAGTTCGCTGCCGCCGTTCTACATCCTCGTGTGCGTCGACAACTTGGTTTTTGCCACTGCTGACACTGAGGCACTGGCCCTAGTGAAGTTGGAGTTGTAGAAGAGACACACGTGCACAGACCTGGGTGAGTTGCGCAGCTATCTTGGCTTGCAGATCATCTGGGACAGAGCACGGTGCATCATCACCTTGACTCAGTCACACATGGCGCACCAGGTCCTTCAGCGCTTCCGCTTCCAGTACTCCTCGCCACAGTCCACTCCTCTGCCTACCGGTCTCTCGCTCTTAGCTCCACCTTTGGACGATTCCATAGAGCCGAGTGGCCCGTATC